CCCGCGGGGGCCAGCAAGGCAGGAGCAAGTGCTGCAGTGGAGAAGCTGCAGAAGGCCGAGGGCAGGCTCTCAGGATTGGCATCCTTGAAGCGGGTGGGAAATGTCAAGGTGATCAGCGATGCCGAGGGACGCAACTCGACGATCAAGGCCAAGTTCACCCTGGGTCCCCTGATCCTGCGTGTGGAGAAGTCCTTCAAGAAGGGCAGCGTGAGGAGCGTGAAGAGTGCGACGGCCAGGACGAATGAGATGGTTGGACGCATCAAGTTCAGCGTTCTGGACGATCGGGCCACCCTAATGTCCATCAAGGTGCAGCAGCCAAAGCAGGTGAGTGGCAGCCTCAAATCCCAACTGTTTCCCCGGCTTCTTTGACCAATCAACCTTTGACACAGGTGGAGGTGGAGAGCAAGGACAATCACGACCGCACCCGCGAATTTGTGTGGCGACGCACGCCCAAAATCGCCAAATTGGTCAACGAGAAACTCAAATTGGCAGCCGAATCCTTGTTTGCCCCACAGGGCGTCGAAGTCGTCAGGCTCTGAACGCAAATGGGGTTTTCGAGGATAACAGCCATTTCTCACTGCTCTGCTCAGCTGTAGTCTACGCCTAATTGTAATGCCTAATTTATTTATTTATTTAACTTATTTACCCATCTATTTATCAACCCATCTATCGATAATAAATCAATTCTGTCTATGCATTGGTTTAGTTTCTGTTTAATTTGATTGAACAGAATTTTAATTGGGTGCTTATCCCAGGCTTTGATGCAATTGACACTTGTCTGTATTATGGAAGAGTTGTTCACATTGGGAATAAAAAATACATTTAAATATAATCGTATAAATAATATTCGGCCTTTATTTTTAGTCAACTAATGCATTCAAAATAAAGCTAAATGGGGATGAATGGCATGCGGATTGGAAAAATATATATTAAATTGAATAAGATATTTATCGGGAAAAGCTATCCAGACTGGCTGATCAAAACTGTGACAGCTTAAATTTCTGATATCTCATAGCAGCTACATTTATCTCAATCATGTTTGAAATTGAAAACGATTTGAGTTTATTTGTGGCGGCATACATTTCATCCAGTAAAATGGAAGGCATTTATGGGCAATGACTATGATGGGAAAATCTGTTGAATGTGCATCTTTGTCTGAAGAATTTTTTCGCTCTAAACTAGTTTCATTAAATTGCAAACCCTTGCCAAACCATTAAGCCCAGTTTAGTTGGCAATTATCCTAGATCACCTGGAGGAAAATCAGGCTCTTAAAATGGCTAAAAATATTGTCGAATTCGGGGAAAGCTCTTTCTCCGCTTCCTTGGTTTTGTAAATAAAGGTCCAACCATGGTGTCCTTTTTGTCCCATTTCGGACCCTCTTTTCACCCCTTTTTTAACCCCTTTTCATCCCTTTTCCCACCTTGCCACCACCCCACACGTATCTGTGTCAGGTCGCTTGCAGTTTTCATTAATGTTGCAATTTTGCGAGGAGTTCGCCGATGTCCTGGTGCGAACGAGAGGGAAGATGAAGACAGGGGGGGCGGGAGAGGGACAGAGAAAGAGAGTCTGGAACAGGATCCTCCGAACAAAGTAAATATGAGTGCGTTGTATATTGTGTTGCAACCTTAGGCGGAAGGACATGCAATTTGTTGTTGTTTGCCTTTGTTGTTACGCTAGCTATCGCTGTCTCCCTCCGACATCCTACCAATGCAGCCCTTCCCTCTCCGCTCTCCCTCTCGCACGCTCATCATGCATGCTGTTTGTTTTGTCTTGTCCTTGTCTGCCGACGGATGGAAAGGGACGGGACGCATTTCTGCTCTTTGTTGCACCTAAATTGACAACAATATCGTTTCATTTGCTCACTGAAGTGAACTCATCAGTGCCCAAGTCCTGCAGCCTGCTGGTGCACGACCTCCCTGTACAGATAAAGAAATTCGCATGAAAACTATATCATTTAGCATACGTTAAATGTTTTGATTTTTGAAAAAAATATCTATCTGAATTACAAACCATTAACCAATATTCATTAGTTAAATCTAGTAAATTTAATGGTCTTAATTAAGAAAGCTGCTGTGAATTATTTTAGTTATTTGCAACTTTATTTGACAAATGTTAAAATGAATTTCGATTTTTCACAGTGCATGCCGCACAAACCCATACACATTGCCACATCATTTTTTGCAAGCTGCTGCCGCTTGATTATATTGGCTCTCAGCGAGGAGGACAATGTGTTCCGACTTCAAGTTTAGTGGATCAGATCTCCCCTTTCCTGAATGCTGATGCATGGTTACGATTGCGCCACTCCCTCACAAATTTAGCAGGCAACAATTTTAACAAATTCAATTGTCAGGGGATGGGGGTCGGCCCAAACTCATTTGCACTTTTGCCTGCTGTTGCCAAAAGGCAAAAGCACAAATAAGTAAAATATGAGCTAAAAAAAAAAGAGAAATGTATACAATTTTTGCCAACGAAAATTCTTGAGCTTAAAATTTGCATTTGTTATTACTTCGTCGGTTTGCAGTTGCAATTGTTGAATATGCAACAATGCCCCAGAACAGAATCTCGTATCCTCCCCTCCTCGAGCGCTTTAACTTGGTTAGCAGATTTAATTCCTAGCCAGATCCTGATTGTATTACAATGTGGGCGGAATGACGCCCTTTCATTTGAAAAGTGGGAGAGCACAGAAATATTCGTAGAGCATTTTCATAAATCATAAAATTTTCGCAAATGAACTGCATTCTGCCGCGGGGGTTGTTGAGCTAGGGAAAATGGTTTATAAAATTTAACACCTGAGGGGAAGAAAAGTTATCTAAAGCCATAAATAATTTAAGGAATATTTTAATGTGTGTATTGAGGGAAAATTCAATTGGGAATATTGATATAACGATTTTTTTTTGTTGCTTAGTGCATTTGTCATTCGGCAAGTTGGAAGTTTAATAAAAATTCATTCCACAATATTTTCTGGGCAACCAAATTGGAAACTTTTGGTCATTTGCCTTTTCGCAAAGTTTCTAATACCGAGCAAGTACACCAAATGCCTCTCATTAGACTGCAGCCACGCCTCCCGCCATGGCCAGCCTCCCCTGCCGCCCACTTAACCCACCAGTGACCCAGACTTTTAAACACCTCTGACAATATGTGCAGAAAGTTGATAACTGGAGAAATGTTGTGGGGTCCAGTCGGTTAGGAGTTGTGGCAAACTTTTGCGAGTTGGACATGGAGTGGTCGGTAAGGGGGCGGGGCGTGACAGGTGGCCAAGGTCAGCGGGATGTCGGGCGGTAAGCGGCTTGTTTAATTAGCTCACTAAGCCCCACCTGGATGGGCATAATGTGGCTGTCGGAATAAGATGCTCTGATTGAAAGTGTCGCGCGGCTTGCCACAAAAGCGACAACTAATTGCCACATAATCAACAACAGCAGCAGTGGCAGCAACAGCAACCACAAAAACGAGGGGCAGCTACTGCGGTGGCTGGGGTATTTGGGTGGTTCTTGTGGAGGTGACACAAGTGGGTGGCGGATTTTAAACACTTGCCCTTTTTACCAACTCAATTTACGCTAATTACTGCCTTTCGCTCCAGCGATAACTGCTGTCAGCTGCCTTGCACCCGCCATTTTCCCCGCTTTTCATCAAGTGCGGGAAAGAGAAATCTTTGGACCAGCTCCCGTTTCCCATCTGCCACGCATTTCCATACGCCATGCGAATTTATATTGTCATTAGCTCTTTTTGTGTCAACTCCAGTGTATTTTATTGAAATCCCTGCCTTCTGGGCACATTATCCAATTCGCCGCAAAACAAAAAAAAAACGCAAGAGATAATCTAAGAGAACTTTCGAAATTTTCAGTTCATGCGCGCTCTTTGCTTAAGTCTATAACAGTACTCTTTGATACTGACCTAAGCCCCACAGTCTTTATTTAGATATTGTCTAAGGCAGACGGACTTATAATCCAACTCTATAGAGAACATGAAATACAATGTAGTTTTTTTAAAATGAATAGAAAAAAAAAGAAAATTATCATTCACTAACTGGAAGATATACACATGTATATGAAATTAAAACAAAAAAGAACAAATAAAGGGAATGAAGTCCTAGAGTATTTACTGTACCAATTTATAAATTTTAGCAATTGAAATAATCGACTGTTTAAATAACTTCTTAAATGGTTATTTTAAAATTTGCTGAACATTTTAGATGTGTTTTTTAAAAATCAAATAAAAATAGTTGGTATATTTTATTTACCATACCGTTTTTTAAAACTTGACTGCTTCGAGTTGACAAAATTTAGTGCTCACTCTTTTTGTTTATTTAGTTTTTTGATTAAAACAATACGCCATTTTTATGATCTTGCATTTCATTTAAAGGACTTACTCGAAGAAAAACAGCTACTTAAGAAAGATTTAAAATTAGACTAACAAGCCAAATATGGTTTTAATTATACTTTTTTTAAGAAGCCTAATAAATGCTTTACTATCTATAGCCTCTAGCCAACTCCCTCAATCCTCCGTCTAGGTATAACCATAAATCAAGTTATTACCTTTCATTTCCATTTAATTTCCCCTGCTATAAAGAACTCGAATCACTGCTTGTATCTTAAGTTCCCATCGTAAAAATCAACTTAACCCGTTGAAAATACAGTCGTAAAATAAGCTTGCATTTGGCTGAAGCACATAATTCGGGATCATTAAGTTATTCCCTCTGTTGCCACTAACATGATAATCGCAAATTGCCAAAACTATTTCAAACATTTTATTGTTAGACCTTGTTTTGTATAAGAGAGAGTAAGGCCAGTAAAGAGAGCCGAATGCGGCGAATTCAGCAGGAGTGGAAATGCTCGGGACACGATTTTTCCACCCCTTTTCCCCGACTTTTCCCGAGACGAAGACAACAAACCCGAAGCGGCGCTGATAAAGGTTCGTGTCTGCTCGGAAGGCCCCCTCGAGTCCCCAAAAAAAGTGCTCCACTGCTGGCAGAAATCAGTTTCAGTTTCTGTTTCAGTTTCAGCGCGACATCGACGGTGAACGAAAGGCGAAGGCACGGAAAAGCGCGTAAAAAATCCAAATAAAAAGTTGATGGAAATGTGAGGCCCAAATACGTGAGGCGCGACATTTTCCGGACCAGTATGTGTGTGTGCGCGCTTGTGTGTGTGTTTTTCTGACTCGAGGCAGAAGTGTGAGTGCAAACGGATAAGAAAAGCGGGCACAATTGGGTCGTAAATTTTGGAAAACGTGTGAAAACGCAGGAAAAGCCTCATTGCCCCATTGCCGGCAGTCGAAAATTGAATGACCTTTTGTCGCTTTTGTTGTTGTTGTTCCAGTTACTGTTACTGTTACTGCTAACTGTTGTTGCTTTTGCTGGGCAAGTCAAAACGCGTTCGGCACGCGAATATTTTACGATAATCGTCTCCAAAAAAATTATATACCCAAAAAGTAATAAGAAATCTAACGAAATTTCGGTGCGTGTTAGCAGCTTGTCAGCTGTGGCAGGCGACAAAAGACCAAAATAAAAGCTGCAGAGCAATTCGTCTGCAGGCAAACAAATTATAAAAGTGTTAAACGCCCACACAACGACCTCCAGCACCGCTCCCTTTCCCATCGCCTCATTAGCATGCAGCAAATTAAGTTGTTTTATATTTAGACACAGACGAGGGGAGCCCGGACCCCAAACACAAATTAACAAATTAAAACAACACCAAAATGCCAAACAAAAAACAGAGGGAAACTATCTTTGATCTGCGTCAAAACAGAAATCGCTGCCACCGAAAAATATCGGCCGTAATACACTTTTTTTTGTGTAATCCAATATTCGGGCCCAGCGACCACTAAAAGAATGTGACAAAAATTAATAGAAAACACATAAAATATTAACGGAAAACAAGTGTGCAGGGAAATTTACGACAGGCCGCCAATCTGGCTGATCACAGTGCGTATGCGCAATGTGCCTAGCTGAAGAAACTGAAAAGCATCTCGTATGGTATGATAAGATATGCTGGGCTGCTGGGGAAAATTAAGTTTCGTTGGGCAAAACTTTTCCTGTCGCAACTGCAGTTGTTGATGGAAAAGTTTTGTCAAGTGTCAAGTACTTTGGCTTCTCAGCGTTTTCCTTTTCCACCAGCACTATTGTTTGGGGTATCAACTTTTAAGGCCATCAGCTTATGTGGCATTCCAGCTGGCATACCCAAACAAAAATTTAATTGTATCCTTTCTTTGTTCTCGCACATAATGCCATGTAGCCAATAAAAGAGAAAACCTTCCTCAATAAAATATTCATACACCAGGAATTAGTCGACACACAATGGGGCAGAGAAACAAAAGCAAAGCAAGGCGAGGCAAAGATTGGCCCCGGGGACAAGTGGGTGGCGAATTAAACCCACCCGGAACTAAAGTTTCCTCCTAATCACAGTTACTAAGCATTAGAGCAGACACTGCCCCCGAGGCGAGTAGGAAAATGCAGACGCTTACAATTAGAGAGAGAGGCCAAAGGAGCCGGGGGCCGAAAGGCCGAAAGAGAGGGGCATAGTTGGCGGAGAAAGAGATGGCCAGAGCAATTGAGTGCGTTAACACTTTTGAGAGACACTGCTGACGTTGGCAGGAGTCTCAGACTCCGTCCCTGAATCACTGAGTCCTTGCCTTGGGCTCTGTCCCCTCCGACATTTCCATACTCCCTGCCCCTCTCTAATTCCATTACGGAAGCAACAGTGACAAGTGGCCAAGGATTCCGGGCCGGATTCCAGATGGGAGTAGGAGTAGGAACAGGAACAGGAGCAGGAGCAGGAGAGAGGGACAACATGTCAGCAGCAGCCACTTCTGATTGAAGTCACACAGTAAAGGATCCTGCAGAGAAAAATATTGCAGTACAATACCAAAAAAGATCTTGAATAATAATTATTTTCACCAGTTGAAATGGATAGGATAAAAATAATTTGCATTAATAAACTTTTATATCGTAGGGATGGATAGTAGTATAATTATTACATGATTAAACAAGTTATTTTAATAATATAATGCTTAAATCAGTAAACAAATTATAAAATAAAATTACAAGGATATTTTTGTTATATTTCAAACCCTTGTAAGAACTATTTTTTTAAGAAGATGTTTAGTTTCGTGCTAAATTCTAGTCCTATTATGATAAGCCTGTGGTCGGGTTTACTTTTCAGTTAGAGCTAGTACGATAAAAGTTATTAAAACGATGTGTCAAAGAAATGTATAATCAATCATAACCTTGAGATAAGCAAGAAAATAAACTTATTTGACTCCTGTATTCATCTACAGGTCTGTAAAAGCCCATTTCACATTTATTTTATAACAAAATATTTTAAATATTATTATTTTTAATATTCCAATGTTAACTTTACAAGAAGTACATTCTTTATATATATGGTAAAATATTCTTTTTGAAAAGTCAGTAATATTTTGGTTTCTCTGTATGTAAGACTACGTTCATTTTCAGTTTTTTGTTTTTTTTTTTTGTACCACATGCTTAATTTTTTTTCTCTGCATGTCAAATGAGACCTGCAGTTGAACTCGGACCTTAATCCCTTCCCCTTCTCATTAGTGTGTCTGTCTCTTGCGCCACAGTGAAGTTTGCAATTAATTAAGTTTTAATTAATTTCACACAGGGCGAGGGAAAAAATTTCTAGAGAAAAACTCACATCGTTTTCAAGGGGCGTGTGAAAAAGGCAATTCCCCTGCAAATGCTTAACAAATTAGATGTGAGGGAAATGCCAAAGTGCGGTAAAGTTTTCCCCTGGGCCGGGCAATTGATTGATGCCAAAGAGAATGGATGGCAGCAGGTCTGGAAATAGCCGAAGGCGGATATATGTGAAGAAGAGGCGTGACTGCTATAAACAGTTCTCCACAAACTCCTCCCAATTTCGAAAGGCCAAGGAAGGAGGGTTTATTTTGGGACCAGGTCACATGCCACCCAAGTTTGGGCCTATGAAATATGCAGGGGCAGCCAGCTGACCGGAGACAATTCCAAACTTTTGTCAATAACTGATTTTGGTTTATGCATTAGCCATAATTAATTGAAGAAGGTGTTTCGAAGGGAAAAGGACGACAGTCAAGAGTTGGGCGTTGCCCAAAGGCATGTTTTTCTAATATGTAGTTAAAACTTTTGTTGGTATATTTTTGAAGTAATTTTTAATTTCCTTTACACGTAAGACTATTGGTTTCCTTTCAATTATCTAAGTTTTAGTTAACAATATTTTACGTGCCACACACTCTTTCAGACCCGACATCAACACAAATTTAATCAATTTATGTTTCATAACAGCAAGGGGAGCAGCGTCAAAAAAAAAAAACCGAGAACAGAACAAATGAAATTCCTCTTAAAGCTCTTTAGCCCCAGACGAAAATCAATTCTTTTTGGGTTGGTTCCAGGCGGAAAGAAAATAAAAAATCGTTCATGGAAATGCGAAACGAGCAGGGCAACAAAAAATATTATTCCGGCCTAGGACGAGCCAAAAAAGCAAACAGGACTGCAACTGCAACAGCAACACCAAATACAGCAGCAGCAACAAGGACGTGCAACAACAAGGACATTGAACAAAAAGTTCAACAAACGAACGTTAAAGGATTAAATTGTCTGCCATTGATATTAAGTGTTTTAAATGTCATTGCAAGTGTTTAATTCACGCGAAACGAAAAGAGAAAATCAGAAAGGAGTGCAGAGAGAAAAATAAAAATAACTTTCAGGTCATATTGGAATTATTAATACATTTAACCATATTTTTAAGATGTATATAAAAAAAATTTAATAAATGGGTATGTATGATTTTTAAATGTTGAAGAATTAATTTAAAAACCTCATTTGAGGTTTAAACAGTTATTTTAAATATTTCAAATATTGAAATAAAACGATGCGTAAAACCAAAGATAAAATTTGTACTCAGAAAAATTTTAAAAAAATTCCATGAAGGATGAATAATATATTTTTCTCTCTGTTGAAAGGGCTAATAGAAAGGATAGACACGAAAAAAGTGTTGTGTGTGAATACGAGGAATGAAATCAAAAATATATCTTCCCCAGAGATTGCCGTATATCAAAGCCCTCAAAGCAAACAAAGTGCGAATTGATAGGACGCAAAGCAAACCCAATAAAGTGATAGGAAAAGGAGTCAGCCGAGGATTGAAAGGAGTGAAAAGAAGTAGAGGTGCAACACTAAAAACAGACCGCAAATCGAGTGGGTCATCGCAAAATGTTGACCCTGTGGACGGCACTTTTCTGCTGCCTGTCGGGTAAGTCAAGTTCCTCCCGATCCTTCCTTATACACAGTATAATAACACCGCACATCCCATGTTCCGTAGCCTGCTTAAGCATGCATAAGATTATCAGCAATGTATATATATATATATATATATATATATAAACATATACAATATAGGCCCACCACCCCCGCTCAAGGTTGTTATTGTTGCCGCCTCGCCGGGCGCTGAATCCTTTTAAAAACATTTGTGGTTCGGGCTGCGAAAATCCTGATTTATGTTTCTGCCTGCTGCGTTGTCCTTGCAGTCCTGTGCTGCTGCTCTGACATGGCCACTGCCAACCGCAGCAGGAGCAGTGAAAGCGATGGGTGAACCGAGAGAAAAAACATTACATTTAAAGTTCATGACGATTTCTATCCGTTTTTTAATTTTTATGAGACCTTCTGAAGTAAAAGAAGGAGTTTTATATTTTACTAACCCACAAACCAACAGTGCCTCAGATATTTTAAGCCCATTTAGATCGTAGATCAAAGATATATACAAACTTTTAAACAGAGACAATCTTATTTTAATACATTTTCGATTATTCAAAATGCTATAAAAAATTACTCTTCCATTTTTAAAATGTTTTGATTTGAGACGATACCTTTCTTGATAATGTTTGTAATACTTTTTCTCAGTGTAGAAAGTGAGAAAGCAACGTGGAGCCAAAGCAAACAAATGCGGTCGCTTGCTGGTCGCTTGGGGTCGTTTTTAAGGGCATATCGCATAACAGCAGCTCCAATGAGGAATGCGGGGTTAAGGGCTATGGACGTGGAGTGTGGGGTCAGGGGTTAAGGCTGAGAGGCGGCTGGTGTCACTGCACTTTAAATTTTAAACGCGCTCCAAACCAAACGCAAATTGCTTTCTACACATAATTATGCATAATTGAAAAAGTGTAATTATGCCCGAGACTCTGACTTTATGAGCCGCAAACTGTAAGCTCAATCAGGCGAGCAGCAACAGGCGGTGGGTAGTTGGGTGAAGGAGGGGGTGGTGGTGCTGTCGTTACAGGGCCAGAGACGAACCACCCAGCCATCCACTCAGGCGCAATGTTTATAAGTCGAAAGTCCTTTTAATTGCGTGCTGCCTGCACAGAGCAAAAGGGCAAGAAAAGGCTAAGGAGTCCTGGAAGCCTTCTTTTTGCCGATACTTCTCTATCTCCTTACCTATTAAAGCTGCTTCTGACATGACTAGATACGACCTTAAGTGGAAATTCATTATGAAGTTTACTGCCATTATAGTTTCGAAGTCATCTCTGAATTTAATTTCTATAGGCAACACATCACATCAATAGGAAATGCTATAAATATGCAACACTAAAGGATTACAACATATAAAACGGTATTCTGCATTAAGCCATATTATCCTCATCTAATGCTCAACTTTTTCCAATTTACACTTTTATAATAATAACTTTTTTACATAGTGGTAACTACATGCTAAAAAACTTCGCCAAATATAAGCAATTCATGCATATTTTTTAAACACAATTGTTTTTATATTATTAAGATTTTTTTCAGTATCCTAAAAAAAATATTTTTTCCTGCCGCTGAAATGTATTCTTGTCCTTCGATGGTGGATGACTGTGCAAGCAAAAACTTATCGATCCTAACACTATACCTGTATACACTCCATCCATCCATTTGGCTTTATTTCTTTGCCATTCTGGCAGCAACTTTTCATTGTTTGTGTCCTTTGTTTGGGCTTTTGCTCCTGCCAGTTTGGCCATGTGTTTTTATTGCATTAATTTTTATGGTCGCTTGCTTTTGTTGTTCTTTAGTTGCTCCCCCAATGTTATTGTTTTTGTTATTGTTATTGTTCTTGTTGTTGGAGTACTTCGTTTTTGTTGCTGGCAGCGTTACCGTCGACTGCTCTTGTTTTACTTAGCTGCGTATGCCCCAAAGTAATAAAGCGAATTGGTTTTCTTCAAATAATTTCCATTTTAAATCCAGTCGGCAAATCCCCTCCCACTTTGGCGGATTGCTGGTATTTTCTTTCTTTTTTTTTGAATTTGCTTTTCCGGATTTTGCTGTTCTTATTTTGGCTGTTGTGGGCGCTAAGCAAAAGTGGCTTCATTTTCCCGCATAAGATTGTTTCTAAAGTTTGGCCGAGATTTGTTGTCGTTTGGCAAAAAGTGGCAAGTGGCGCTGATCCATCTATATACTACTTGAACATTTCTATGCCGGAAGACGCACGCCTTCCTTGTACTGTCAGTTGTCAAAGGAGGCCTCAAAATTTAATTGAAATTTAGTGTAAACACAATGACAGGCAGTCGATTATCCTGCTGCGGCTTCAAGAGCTCCTGCTCCAATTCCTTTCCTTTTCCTGTTCAACTCGCTTACACACAAAATGCACATACACAACATGTATCTGTACAGAAAAAAATTTCATAAATATTATTTGCATGTTAAATGCCAAAAAAAATTATTTTCATGTCATGAAATGCACAATATGTATCTAAAGAGGAACCGCATGTACTTTATAAATTTTATTTGTATTATTTAACTTATGCCAAACAAAATTGTATTTTCATATCGAATAAAGCATATATTTAAGCTATTTTATTATAACAATTTTATGATTTATATTATTCAAAAACAAGTTTCTCATATAATTCTTGGTTTATTTCGACAGCAATATATTGAGACTTGGATTCCCATTTTAATCATCTTTTATCAATAAGCATATAAATTTCATGAAATATATATTAATTACCATCCCATTTTAAATAAATTATATATGTTTTTTCAAATATTTGAGCATTGATATTGTAGTGTAATTTTTTGCTGTGTATTATTCGCTATATTTCGCGGGCCAAATCCTTTTGCGCGCAAATCCTGTCAACTTCGGCTTGACTTTCCAATTTGCCATCGTTCGCCCCTTGTATGTGTCAAAAAACTTGGAATCGAGCCCGGGACCCCCCGCGTTTGACTACGCCCCTGGCCCCGCAGAACATAGCATTTCACACGTGTCACTGAGCAGTGAGTTGTTGGCTGTCAAGATGCCAAAGCCCCTCGATCCTCGCTCCTTGGAGTCAAACCCGCTGCCAGACAACCACCAACAAAATGAGGGGCAAAATTGTATCGGGCCGGTATTAACATTCACTCACAACTCGCAATCCACACCCGCCCACAGACCCCTTTTCCGATTTACCCTTCCTCCCTCCCCCCATTTTCACCACCCATGCAGATTGTTTGCCTATTTGCCTTGTGCATATGGAAATGAAATGGCAAACAAGAGTGAGAGCTGAAGTGGAGCAAAGAAAGTCAGGGGAAAATTACGTTGACACAAGCAAACGCTCACACACACAAGCGCGAAAAAGGAAAGGCTAACTCACACCAACGCCAAAAGAAAAAGGAAATTGGCTAAATCACACTTTTACCGCCATCACCCCCAATTTCACTTTAAATTACAGCAACAGTTTAATTCAATTATTAACTGTCTCTTTTCTGGTACACTGCACTCAAAAGTGCTTAGATAAAGAAGTAATTGAAAAATCACAAATCAACGTACCAAGAAATATATAAAAATCAATATTTATATTTTATAATACGTATATTCATACGTGGCTGTATATATACTAAACTTTATTTAATCAAGAATTTATATTGATATTGATTTCAATTATATCATATATATATATCTATAGAGCTCAAACAGTAACAAAACAATCAAATTATTTGCGAAATTGCGACACAAAATATTTTAAGAATGGTTGCAAATCCCTAAGCTTAAAAAAACAAAATATGCCAAATTTACTATAAATATTTTCAATAGCTTCGCCTGCACAAATTAATTCACATAGTTGAATGTAATTGCAGGAATAAAGCGATTATAAGTCAATAAAATGTTTATTATTATGTGATTGACGAACGCATAGGCACTCAATTAGGATTGCAACTTCCAAATAGTTAGCTTAATTAACACGATAGCTTTGTTCAATTTAATTTTATCACTTGCAAATGCAATTAAATTACTTGAGGGCATGAAAAACCGTCGGAAGTAAACAGCCGTAATTACAGCTGTTTGCAGATTAAGGAACCAATGAAATGGGCTGTGGATCATAATCGCACTGATTAACGATATCCCATAACTCAACCATGATACTGGAAACTCTTTTGCACGCTTTCGTTTAACCCTTTTCCCACCAATTGCCACCCAGAGCGTTGATTGCCCCTTTTAACCCTTTTTTAAATGGGCAACGCTCGCGCTTGGAAAAACTTGAAAAATTCCAGAGCTCCTCGTGTTTCGCCTTTTTGGGTTCGCAGTTCATTTGAATTGTTTTTGTTTGGCCTGCCATTTGTATCCCAAGTAATAGGGTTGCCTATTTTCAATTCTCCCCGTTCATTTCTTTATTTTGCTTATCGGGTAGCGGCAACAAAAAGCCGAGAAAAATAAAAGCGAATAGGAGAATGAACAAATTGTTTACGGATGTGTTTGCGACCCGCTCCTCTGGCAACCAAAAAAAAAAATAAAAAAAATACAAAACCCAAGCCGAAACCGAGAAAAGGATGTAACAGAAATTCATAACAAACTACATTTCATGCTCTTTGTGTCTGTGTGCGCGCTAAGGAAATTCACTTGACTTTTGGCCACCGTTTTTTTTGTGTATTTCTACTTGGATTCTTCGGCAGAGGTTTGGGGGCATAAATAAGCTCGGGGCCAGGCCAAGAGTCCGACTGCTGCAGTTGTCGCCGATCTGGGCCAACAATGGCCAATAGGTAGCACGCTCGCACACACACAATCCAAAGCCAAGGCATGGGTATTTGCCCCAGCTCTTATTTATGGCTATTTGTCGGCGGAGTTGGCCAGGACTTTCATGGCATCTTTATGGCCCCTTACTATATGCATATCGCGGCGAAAGTTTGCAACTTTAAAGTCAACAGACTGCGCTGCGAGTAGCGAAAATAAAAACACATTTTGTCGAAGAAGTTTACTTTGCAGTTTCTTAGTTGGCTTTACTTAAGCTCTCCAACTTTTCGTCAAGTTTT